GCAACAAATAGCTATAGCCCACGTTCTCAAGCAAAAGGTGGTCAGACTCTATCCAGTCCAGGAACCAAATAAGACCAGTCTCGTATAAATTGGTCATCTGGCCACTGAGCTTTCTGACAGGTTGTTAAAGGAGTCTGGGGCTTGCATGAGAATACAAGTGCGATGGAATGAACAGAGGGGGAAGGCCCACACAGACCTGCAGGAATGAGCAGGGAGACATTCCCAAGCCATGCGGAAACGAGGAATTGGGTATTAGATCAGCAGTGCAGACAGCTAGCCAAGTGCTTGGGAAGTGATGAAGTCACATCTCGGCCTCACGCAAATCTCTATTAAAGTGTTACATGGTGGCACAGGAGGCTGAGGCAGGACAATTGAAAGTTCAAAGCCAGCCCCAGCAACTTAGTGAAGTCCTAAGCAACTTAGTGAGATCCTGTTTCAAAATAAAAAAGTAAAAAGGGCTGGGGATGTAGCCCAGGGGTTCAGTGCCTCTCAATTCCTGGTAGCCAAAAAAAAAAAAAAAAAAAAAAAGGAGTTAGATGTAAATCAACTAAAAATTAGAAAACAGCATCAAACAATAGAGAACTGGTTAAATTATTGTATATTAATACAATGGACTATTATGTAGTTATTAAAGCCATCTTTTAGAAGAATCATCAATGCTTACAACCTACCATTAAGTAAAATAGTAGATTACAAAAAATAAATATCTTATGACCACAGCTTTGTAGTTCAGTTCCCCATGAGATATATGAGATTGTGTGCTTGCACAAACACACATTTGAGGTGTATATAAGTCCACATGTACATACATACAAAAGTCTGTAATAAAACAGGGGATAGCAGGTAATTTTTACATACACACACTTATGTGTTTTTCCCCAAGTATTCCACATTAAAGACAAGCTACTTTTGGAAAATACATTTTATTTAGAAAATTGTTTTATAATAGCTCTAATATTAAAATAATTGAAACATTTTGATAAAGGAAAGTGAAGACAAATTCAGGGAGCAGACCCTATGAAGACTGGGAACCCACTGGATTGAGATATCCTATTTTTCCCAGGACGGTTCCATGGATCAACCAAACACAACTTTGTAATTGCTCTGGCACCTGACACCTGACACCTGATGCCTGGCCTTCTCTGGAGAGGAAAATCCTGGCCCACTGTGGGAAAACCACCGCTGGGTACAGAAGATGGCTCAGGGGTGGCCAAGCTAGTCTTATATCCATTTCCAGAGGAAAAATAAAGCTGATGGTTTTTGTTCTCTCAATTATGACTTTTCTCCTATAATATTTTTTTGAGGAGCTGGGAGTATAGCTCAGTGGTAGAATATATGCCTAGCATGCAGGAGCTGATGTCCACCCCCCACCCACCCCAAATTTCTTTAAAACATATGATACCTACAGTTACTCTGATACGTTAGAACTCCATATAAGACTCAGACCTAGTACTGATTATGTATTTAACTATCTTAAGTTCTCTGTATCACCATTTCAGCAGACACTGTTTCAGGAGAATAAAGACTACAACAACCTAGGTCTGTGTTTCAAAGTTCCCAGGTGATTCTGCAACACCGCTGTGCACAGAGGTTGAGAACCACCATTGTAGCATGTTCCAAAGTGGCAGTTCTCAGACTTTGCTGCCATTGGAATCACTTGTGCAGTTTTAAAAACTTCCAATGGCAAGGCCATGTCTCAGACCACTAAACTCAGAATCTGTGGGCACCTGTCCATCGATGGGCCTTAAAGGTCAGGCGAGGTGGTGCATGCTTGTAATTCCAGCAGCTTGGGAGGCTGAGGAAGGAGGATCATGAGTTCAAAGTTCAGCAATTTAGCAAGGCCCTCAGCAACTCAGGAAGACCCTGTCTTTAAATAAAACATAAAAAGGCCTGGGGATGTGGCTCAGTGGTTAAGCGCCCCTCGGTTCAATCCTCATACAAAAAAAAAATCACTTGGATGATTTCAATATACATCTGGATTTGAACTAATATTTTAAATGATAGCAACCCAATAAACAGCTTGTAAAAGCAGAATCTGAACTACTTTGTATTCTCTGTCTCCCTCTGCTGGCCTTTCTACCACACTGCTGTAATTTACTGTCACTGGGTATCCAAGACACTGTTGCTTGCTGGTACTTTTAAAAATTTGCTAAGAAAATTAAAAAGAACCAAAGAGGACTGAAATTTTTAAGGAACTAAATAGCTATAAAGTATATTCTTGTCTGTCACAGGATGTTCTAAGAGTTTTAAATGCATTAAGATAGGGCTGGGATTGTGGCTCAGAGGTAGAGTGCTTGCCTAGCATACTCGAGGCCCCGGGGTTTGATCCTCAGTACCACATAAAAAAAAATAAAGATATGTGTCCACCTATAAGTAAAAAATAAATATTTAAAAATACATTAAGATAAAGCAGCTAAGAAAAATTTTGCAGTATTTGGCAAATAAAAAGCAGCCAATAAATGTTAGTTATGACCATTCACACAATAAAGCACAAATTAGAGCCTTTCTTTTGAGTACCAGTGATTCATTTTTAATAAATGGTTTTAATTCATTACAAAATATTCTTAGTCAGTTAGTCCTATTTGTCCCTGGAAAATTGGCTATGGGTCAGTAGTGAGAAGAAAAACTGGTCTTCTGGCTAGAAAGACAGTTTTGATTTTCCTGCTTTGACTGCCTCAGAAAGCAGTTGTTTTACTGTTTACTTCTATTCATTGTATTATTTTCTGAGTTGATTTATTTTCTTCATTTCTGCACATAATCATCTGTGAATTCAGGCTCTCAGGCTGGTTTTATGTGAGTAATGATAATTTGGAATTACTTGAAAAAAATTTTTTAATTTTATTTTTGGCTTATTTAATCACGTTGGCTATTAAATTGTGTACAATATCGGGAGACAGTAATGACACTTAGGTTTGCTTATTTTGATTCTGATTTTTTAAAGGAGAAGTCACCGCTAAGATAAATGTTTTATTATATTGGTGAGGTATCTTTTAAATTCCTTATTGTTTTAAAAGGAATTTTGCTTGGAAAAAAGACATTATTTTTTATACTCTTATAGCATCCATAAAAATGACTGTTTGGCTTTTTCAATTTGGTGTGATAACATTTTTAAATTAATGTGATAGCATTTTATTAATAGAACTTGCCAGCATTTCTACAGTAAATCCTAGCTGGACATGGGGTAGATGAGAGCAACAGTTCTCATGACACCCCCCAGAGAGGGTATCCCACCAATGTCCTCCTCTCCCATTCATTACAACCGTAAGTCTCTGCTCCTGATGGTGGTGGTGGTCCTCAGGGATGTGGACAGAAATGACAAATGCACAAACACTCATTATCTGACACTTGGTCCCCACTAACCCTGGCACAATGTCGTCATCCAGTGGAGCTGAGGACCCTTTAGCTCAGGCTTGAGGACTCAAGGTTCCACCCCACTGTGCAGATGGAGACATCCCAGCCCAAGGAGGATGCCAAAGAAAGAGCAGCAAGGGGCCCCTGCCAGGCCTGAGCTGGGTGCTTCTCATGTTGTGGGACCTGCTTCTGAACAACTCTGTGAGAAACTGTTAGCCCCACTTTGGAGATAACTTGCCAGAGGACATAGTTATTAAGTAGCAGAGCTGTCCTTTAAAACTGGGTGTAATTTTGGAGCTTGTACAAGCTGGATCTGTAGATTCTGAAGACTGGCTCTTGGGATGGGTGAAGAGGCAGAAGCAGAAAAAGAGTCAATGTGGCCTATCCCTTTCTTCTCCTTAAGGAACTTGTGGGGACAGTACCGAGGCTCTTGTTTGCAGACTGGAAATCCTGTGGTGGCGCCTCTCTACTGATGGATCCAGGTTCCCGAGACATCCCAGCTATCGCCTCACCTAAAAGTACAGCTGAGGGAATCCAGCTGTTGTCCTCACAGAGACTGCTGGAATGTTGGCAGTATCTCTGCCTAGGACGCTGAAAATGCAAGGAAAGAAATGTTTGATATTTATTGAGTGCCAGAGATGTTCTAAGAACCTTCCATGTATCAATTAATCTAATCATTTTAACATCATTACAAAGAAGATACCATTATCTCCATTTCATAGATAAAAGATGAAGGCACAAGAGGTTAGGGAACTTCCACAGACAGAAATCTACAGAGCCTGGATTTACACCCAGGCTCTTTGTCACTACCATTTTAATGAAGTAAAGGCTGAATGAACCAAAGTAACTCACTACGCTCTTAGGTTGGAAAGATGGTGTGGTATCACTTTGGTCAACATTCACCTATGACTACCAAAATCAAGGAAGCCTTTGTCTCTATGTTCAAGAGGAGGTTTCAATCTGCTCTCATCTGTGTAGGACACCCACCTCACTATCGACTAATATCGCAGAGGGGGTTACTTGGATGTCTTTCTAGAGTTTTAGAAAAGGGTGGCAGTTAGCAGGTTTCATACTGATCTCAGAAAAGGTTCGAAGATGAGTCTCAATGCTGTCCATTTAATGAAGAAGGCTCCAGCTATTGTAGCTCCAATCCTTCTTTTAAATATCAAAACAAATTTCAGAGTATAACATTTAAAAAAACTTCTTTATGGTGTTGGGGATTGAGCCCAGGATCTCATGCATATTAGGCAAACTCTGAATCACTGACCCACATCCCCAGCCTAGAATTTAATGTTTGAATTAGAATTCTGAATCAGCAGGGCTTTTTGCATTGAAGTAAGTTCTAACTCTATTTTCTGGGTGGCTTCAGTACTAGTAGTGTTACTGAGGAACCAGCCCAAGGTGTTGACAGGTGTCTGCCCTCTGATGCACGTGCAGGAGGCCTCAGTAAGAAAAGCAGCATCCCTTTGAGACTGATGCCCAGACCCAACTCCTGGAATTTCTAGAGATGCTTAATTTTTTCTTTCCCTTTATGTGAACATTAACATCCATATCAGGCCTGGAAACCTTTGTAGAAACTACAGGTTCAAAAAAAAAAAAAAAAGACATAAATAAAGGAGATTTTGTTTGAGATAAGCAAAAGAAAAGAATGACATTTCACAAATATTTTATCAAGAAACTCACCAGTAAAAGCTCAAAAAACCCCCAGGCCATTAAGGTATATAAGCCACATTTTTACTTTTATGAAAGTACAAGTCAAGAAGCTGCCATTTAATGTATTGAAGACAAAGAAGTTCCAAGATTTGAGAAGAGTCAGAATTCCTGTAGGTTAGGACAGGTTGATTCAGTCTCCCGGGTCCTCTACAGCAATCCATATTCAGAATCATCTCCAAAGAAGGTTAAGTTTAAAAAATGTTCTTTGTGTTTTCACTGTGCCTGTGGTCTAATTCTTTGGAAACTAATTCTCTACTAGTGGAAAATGAAGACTTTAGGAAATCTGGGTGCTGTGTCCCCTTGTCACTGCCTCGACAGCAGTTTTGAACAACATGTTAAAGGACAGAAAAGAGCAACTCAAAAGCAAAGAGAAAAACTGAAAACATAAACCCTTAAAATAAGTATCTAAATGGTAATTAAGTACTAGATCGCCAGAGCCCATTCTCTATATCTTGATTTTTATTTATCTTAGGTCAAAAGTAATTGTGGAATATTTTAATTGGTTCTTAAATGTCCCCAAGTTCTTTATTGAAATAAATTATAATAAACTGTTGGCAGGCAAAAGACAAATGCAAAATCTAAATGTAAATAATTGTTGTGTGAGAAATGACTTTCACCACAACTTGGGCATTATCAAAATATAGTTTAAAAACCCTTCTTTGCAACCACTGAAATTACACAAGTAATCATTTTTGAAGGCACAAATTAAAAGGTGGAAAAACCACCATAAATTGAGGCTACTCTTCTCAAAAGATAATCTGCATAGGAGTTGGTGTTGTGGCCTAGGCCAGGGCTCCTGCATGCCAGGAGTTCACTCTGGCCCCTGAGTCGTGGAGAGGCTGAGAGGATCCTTGAGGTTGGCACTGGGGGAGCCTGGTAACAGCAACTACTTACTAAGAGGAACTTTTTTAGGATTTTATCAGCTGATGCAGTTGTTCCAGTGCAGACTGACTAAGCATCTGATCTGCTCAAAGCTCTCTCTAAGAGTGACCTGACCAGGGCAGGAGATTGTGGCCACACTATTTTCATTAGCTTATTATGAAAGAAAAAAGTTCCTGGAGATACACAACATTCTAATTCCTTCCTTTTTCTGAGACTAAACACCCTTCACAACTTCCCAGTATGCTCAGCCAACACTACAACCTGACGCCTGGGGTACGGGTTGCCCAGGTTAGAGCTTTCAATACCCTGACCATGACCAGTGCAATGCAGCCACTCTCCAAAGCAGCTGAGCTCTTTGAGAAGACGTCAAATAGCTGCTAACCTATTCTAAATAAATAGTGGATAAACTGTTCCTGCCTGTTAAGATTAAATCCCACATAACCTATGCTCAAGCTTGCATCTCCCTATGACCATGTTTGACATCTGGAAAGTATGGTGGAATAGTCACCGATCTGACAACTCTAGAAGTGCCACCTGTGACCCAGAGGCATCAAAATAAATAGTCAGAATATTTTCTAAAAAGTCCATGACGGCTCTTCTGGCTGTGTCCCCAGTTAGCGCCTGTATACTGCTTATATGCTTCAGGGCCATTTTGACCATCTGGTCTCTTTCTTGTGGGCTATGGGATGCTCCAGGATCATCTCCCTCTGTTCCAGATTTTAAAAACTGTAGGAGATAGGACCGGACCATATCTCCATTCGGTTCAAGGGTTTCTTTGATGCAGGGCAGGTCTGAAGCCCTGGCCAAGCTCAACAGGTGAATCAGTGCCTGGCAGATCTGGGTCCGTAGGCTGGCACAGTACTTGAATTCCAGAAAGTCTGTGGTGTCTTCACTCTTCTGCAAGGCAGTGACCAATGCATTCCAGATCTGAGCATACTGCTCTACAGACCCATACTGCTCTCTCTTGCTTGGGATGGAAAGGGCAGTGGCAGATCTGATACGCACTTTGAAGTTCTTGCATGATGTTACAACAGACGTCAGGGCATCGTAGGCTTGGGAGGTCCATGGGGCTGTCCCTAGGAAGAATATCATCATTAAAACTAGTAAAGGTATAGAAATAAGTTGGGGGGGGTGCTGTGGAGGAGGCATGCACACTAGTACTCCAGATAGTCACCAAATGTGCCCATTTCTTTCTTATAATAATCCCGTAAGATCAGGGTAGTGAGTGAATCATGGTGGGATCTTAGGTAAGTGACCGGATACTGACCCCCAAACCTCCCTCTTCACTTAGCCCAGCCTGCAGCATGCTTAGGACTTCTGCTACCCAACATAGGACTTTGACTGATTCAGAAAAAGATTTCTTTTCTAGAAAGATTTTCTCCAAAGGGGCAAGACTTGGAAGGAGCATGGAATGAATTGCAGCCCTACCTGTCCTCTCAGTTGGACGTTGCTGAGCAAACCCATACAACTGTATGCAGCAGCCCTGTTTATGCTAGCAAAAAGAATATTTCCTAGCCCAGATTAGCATACACACATTGATTTGGCCATAGCAAGTTTTGCATTTTATTGTGAAAAAAAAGAAAACTTCTAATTTCAAGATTTCTTTCTTCTATTCCCATAGGCTCAGAAAAATCTTCCTGCTTCCCTCCTCCCCAGTTACCTTTGTTTTGGGGTGTCCTTATTCTTCAAGACCAGCCTGAAGTAGAATGTAGCTTCTTTAAGTCTCCCAGCCTTTCCTTATTCTTTGTTGCCTCTGAAGACAGGCAAATAGGCCCTTTCCAATTTATGGATGCTATTGCCATTTACAATGGACCACTGTTTGAGGTCCTTGAATCTCACCATCCCAATGCCATCTCTAGTCAGTTTCCTGTCTCATTTTCCTTTTGCGGTTGCTGATAGCTCTGTCTCCTTAATGGAAAATGTCATGAGGCTACTCTCTACCAGCTCCCTCTGGTCCCCTTACTTGATGCAGGCTCTGCAGGCCCAGAAGATTTCCTCCTCTCTTAGATTCAAGTTTTGTCATAGAGACAGTCGTATAAGGCAAATGCTGGCCTTCAAAGTAAGTGCTGTCTGGGGCTATAATCCATACACCTAAGCAGCTGCTGGCCCTGAATGTTATTTCCTGCTACATGTCATGTTATGATGATATGACTGACAGAAACCCTCCTTAGATGTGGCATCTACCTCTGTTCTAAGGGCTCGCAGGATTTCATATTTGTACCTATTTTCCCATTCCATTTTTTTTGCTATTTTTCTTGACTGTTAAAACCATATATGCTTATTGTAGAAAACTTAGAAAATGAAAGCAGAAAACAAATCTACTCATCATTTCATTCAGTGGCAACCAGTGTTAATAATTAGGTCAATTTCCTTTTCATCTTTTCTCTACCCAGCTGTTGAGATTTTACTATAAAAGTATTTAATATTCTGCTTTAGTTTTTGTTACAAAAACTAAGAATTATTTTCCCATATCATTAAAAAAACTTTGAAAATATAATTTTAAATGGTAACAAAATATTCTGTTGAATATACATAAAGTAATTTATTTTGCCATTGCCCCAAATTTGGGGTTCCATTGTTTTCTAATACTGTGACAAAAAACATTGTGAAAAAAAGTTTGTCTGCAAGAGTGAAGAGGGAAACCTTCTTACCAAGAGGAAGGGCAGGATTTTTAAACACATTTCCCATGGCGTAACAGGCATTCCATCTAACTTTCATGGCAGCCTCGATCAGAACAGTAGAAATCAGAGCCTGGATAGACTCCTCAATAATTTCAGCAAATATGGGTTTTTCTATATGAGAAGGTTGCAGAAAATGAAGCAAGTTTCCAAGGGCCCGAACTGCATTGCTTTTTACCTACAAAAAAATGTAAAAGCCTTAGAAATCTGTTTTGCCAGAGATGTTTCATAAAGTATAATTTTTGCTTTAAAAACCCCAGGAGACACTAGATTTCTCAAAGCAGGAGGACTAATGAAATGTACATCCTGTAAAGGTGCAAGTCCTTGGAATTCTGCAAGGTCACATCTGGTTAATTTTCTGAGCCATCGGAAAGGAGAGGTCTATACAGCTCCTCTCCTGGATTGCTGGTGCTAGACTGCACCTCAGAGAGATCTGTCTTTCCTTATAGAGATGGAGCACAAGGACTAAGACAACAGGACCAGGCTGCTTTGCAGCAAGGCTAGGAGGAGAAGCTAGGCTTCATCACTCCAGCCCAGTATTTTCTATTAGATCAGAATGTCTTAATTTTTGCAACATGCTAGAATCATCCAAGGCTTTGTTTTTGTTTTTATATCCATTTCCTGGACTCTAACCCAGAAATTCTGATTGAATTACTTTGAGGTAGGGCTTCCTAGGTGATTACTAGGTTCTCAGAACCACTGTACTAAATAAAGCATTGGTCTGGGGCAGGTACTATGCTAGGTACTTTACCATAAGGCACCTCAGAGTCTAGTGAAGTATATGCAATGACTCCCATATTCCAGGTGAGAAAACTGAATTTCAGAGAAGCTAAAGAACACACCAGAGTCACCTGTTATAAAAGGGGAAGCCAGGACTTGAATCTATGTCCACTTGACCTAAGGCCCAGGCCTATGCTTTTTGAGTTTATATTATGTAATAGGAGATATTCAAAGCCAGGGGCTCCTCATCTTTTTGATTTGTCAATTCCACTTACAAATGTTTGGGAAAAAACAGAATAATATTAGAAAAAATATGAGTATATCATGTAATATTAAAATGGGCTCTGATATTTTTCAGGACATTAGAGACATAAAGAAACTGTATAAGTGTAGAGGGGGGCCTAGGTATATCCTGAGTATACTTTCCACCCCCTTTAAAGAGGAGATATTTGCTGTGACAGTTTGAGGAACTTCACATCACACTGAGCTACCAGCTATGGTACAACTATAAACACAAGTATTTAAACAAGAAATACTAGGTGTTGTTCTGAGTCTACCTTGTCCTTGTCCTTGGAGGCTTCTATTGCTGACCGCAACATTTTCAAGAGCAGGAGACCAGAGAACTCTTCTTGGAAACTTGGGTCTGGTGTTTCCCTGTAACACCCAAAGCATACAAAATAGGTTAAAAGGTAAACCCCACTTAAATATGTACATATAAAAATATACTCACTTAGTATCAAAAACTGTAGGAAAACAGCGTAACAAAGCTGTTCACACCACAGCAAGAACTTACAGTATGTATGTATCTCTCTCTTGCTCTCTTTTTTTCCTAGTGTTACTGTGGATTGAACCCAGGGGTACTTTACCACTGAGCTACATGCCCAGCCCTTTTTAGTTTTTGAGACATTGCCCAGGCTAGACTTGAACTTGTGATCTCCTTGCCTCAGTCTCTTGAGGAGCTGGTATTATAGGCACGTGCCACTGTGCCTGTTTCAGTACGTACTTCTTGACTCAGCAGTTAGATACCAAGGAATGTATCCAAAGGGAATACCTCAAAAGGGAAATTTTATGCACAGAAATGTTCACTGTGGGCAGAAGCCTACAAACCTAAAGTCTAAAACAAATGCTTAGGCATAGTGGGTTAAAAATTCATCACATAGCAATGACCAAATAAAAATAAGTACTTACTAGAAGCCAATAATGGAGAATGCTTATACATGAGACTTTCACGTCACTTTTACAGGGTTAAGAGATAAAAAGCAGGATACTTGTGTATGAATAACAATAAATATTTCTGGGAAGAGGGATGTGGGTGTTCAGGTAGGAGATAGGTTTTACACTGAATATGCCTTTGTACTGTTTCAATCTTTTTAAACTTGTGAATATATTATTTAAAAAAATATAAACATTATATCTTAAAAGTAGAGCAACCATTACTAAGGTTTTGGATTTCTATTTTTATATTTTCTATAATGTGGATATATTGTTTATATCAGCATATAGTATTTTTATATATGTAATTTTTTTATGTATATAATTGATACATATATATTTTATATAAATATATATAAAATATTATGAATGTTTGTACATAGAATTCTCAATATGTGTTAAGAGCATCTAATTAATCTTATTATTTAAAGGAATATAAAAATAAATCAGTAAGACTGACTAATATGGGGGAATTACTGATAATTCTCTCATAGAAGAGATAAAAGATACTCTCTTGGGACCTTCACCTTAGAAGTCACCCAGGGAAAACAGGCTGAGTCACCTACATGTTGACAATCAGAGTGTCTGTCAGGTTGCCCAGGGACCAGGCTGCTTTGGCACGGACATTCAGAGACTTGTCTTGAAGTGACATCAGTATGGCATTTGCTGTGTCTGCAACAAATATGACATCCTGTAAGATGAACCAAACACTGCATTACTTTTGAGTTCACAATGCTGCTTCTGAAATTCTCAAATTTATTTTACCCAAAGCTACAACCCTTTATTGCAAATTTTGATTCAAAATCAAAATTCATTTACTCAATCAATTCATTTACTATTTTTTTAATATTACAATTTGGATACTCAGGATACCCATGCCATGGATACCCAATCAGCTGAACTGTTGTGAATGTCTTACAACCTGGCCTATGACAGTTATCTGTGAATTTTGTCCTTGGGTTGATTTCCACCTTCAGGAAGCGGTGTTCTGACAATAAAATACATTTCCAAAACACACCCTATTCACTAGACACTTCTCAGTGAGAAGAAGATCACAAATAAGAGTGAGGGAATTTTCATTTCTTTCTTAGTAAAACCTTCATCAGCTTTCTAAATTATTACTATCACATGGTACTGTCTCATAGCCATTCATTAAGCATTCACTGAACATCTAGGTCCCAGGTGGTGTGCTAAGTAATTTGAAATAAATGAACTATAGGCATTACTATAATTTTGTAGCAATTAAAGAAATCAGAATACAAAAGAAGTTAATTTCCTTTACTGCCCAACTCAGGAGATTTGTATCCACAAACAAGCAGTGATATGGATTATAAATAGAAAAAGAAGAGCTAAATGGGCTCACTCTGACCTGTCTGAGACAAGGAAAAAGCACATAGACTCCAAGGGCCCTCGATGTCGCAGCTTTCACTAAACGGTTCTTGCTGTCATTCAATCCGAGTAGCATTGTAATGCACAAAATCTGCCTGTCATTCTGCAATGAGAAGGGTGACAAAGGGAAAAGCAAAAAGAAATAATTATGAGCCAAAGTTTCCCCAAAATGACTATGAAGTACCTGTTCATATTCAGGAGCTGAATGCACTGTGATCTCAGGGCAGGCTGCCCTGTGTTAGCGCAAGTTCCATTCAGACTCAACGTTGATCTGAGAATCCACTTTGTGCAAGGCACACACAGCATCTCATCACATCCAAGCTTTCTACTGTGTAAATTAGGCAATTTTTTATCCTTTTATTCCATTAAAGTTGCATTTTTTATAAGAGCTAATTTACATAAATAAAAACAGATGCAAATTCTGCTGAAGATTAAAGAAAAGCAGCAGTTTGGATACTGCTATGGTCTAAATGTTTATGCCCCTGCCACATTCATATGCTGAAACCTTACCCAAAAGGTGACAGTAATAGGTCCTAGGGCCTTTGGGAGGTGATCAGGTCATGGGGACAAAACCTTCGTGAGTGGGATTAATGCCATTTTTTTTTTTTTTAAAGAGAGAGTGAGAGAGGGAGAGAGAGAAAGAGAGAGAGAATTTTTAATATTTATTTTTCAGTTATCAGCAGACACAACATCTTTGTTTGTATGTGGTGCTGAGGATCGAATCTGGGCCGCACGCATGCCAGGCGAGTGCGCTACCTCTTGAGCCACATCCCCAGCCCCGGATTAATGCCATTTTAAACGAGGACCTGAAGAGCTGTCTTGCCCCTTCCACCCTGTGAGCTAGACAGGGCCACCTATGAATCAGAGATTGAGCACCTAACACCACCAACTCTGTAGATGCCTTGATCTTAGAACTTCCAGCCTCCAGAACTCTGAGAAATAAACTGCTGTTTTTTAAAAGTCACCCAGTTTATGGTATTTTATTTTAGCAGCCCAAATGGGCTAGGACAAATACCATGTGTTGGCATCATATCTAAATATTTTCACCTACTCTTATGTTATTTTTCACATGACTCCCATCTTAAGATAATAATATTAAGTTCTAGAAAAGTTAAAACAGTCCCAGAGCTACAAAGACCCAGCATTTAAGCCCAGGTCTTTTAAACTCTGGCAGGAAATCCTTCTGAAATCTCTTTGCCTTTGCAGCTGTGCTGACTCTTCTACCACCCGCCTTCTAAAAGCACCGCGAGAAAGAGCTGTCTGACAGATTAAAAGTTCTCCCGTTTGTTGTTCCCACTGCCCTCCGCCAAATTCAAATACAATAATCTCTTCTTTACAGATAATAAAGAAAATATTTCAAAATAAAAAAGAATCAAACTTGAGCTGTGATGCTCAGGGCACAGTTTCAGAGGAAGAAAATGGCTTGAGTTACCGGCAGACTGCTGAAGGCCTCGGGCAAGATGGAAGACAGGGCGTCACAGGCGCTCGCCTGGAGAGTTGGGTGCTCTGAACTCTGCAGGGCTCGAGGTAAAGGACCTTTTAGCATCACAGTCCAGAACATCACCACCTGAAAGAGGCACAGTTAGAACTACAGCCTAAGATGCACAGTGGAACCAAGTGAAGCTAAGCCTACCACATGTGGCCTTAGCTATGACATGTTTCCTTAAGGAACTGGCTTTCTGTAAATGCTTCATTGGTTCTTCCATGGTGATAAAAAGGACTTTAGAAAACAACTAATCAAATCCTCGTATTTTATTGACTAAGAGACTACAGTGTAATGAAGTCAGTCAGCCATGGTGACAATGAGGAGAAGGATGAAGATGACAGTAAAACAGCTAATGATTTTCAGAGAGCTATCACATTCTGGGATTTGCTCTAAGTGCCTGAAGTACTTCAACTGATTTTAACCCTCAGCATAACTTACATCTCTTTTTTCACACAAGGAGATACTATAACTTGTTAATAGGCAGCAGAGGTCAACTAGAATCCAGATAAACCAACATTTAGTTAGGGCTCTTTCAACCTGATCCCCTGTGACAGAGTGTCAAAATAGTCCAGGGACCATGTGTTCTAGATCAAGGAGCACAGGATCCAGAGGCTGAGTTGCATAAGTCCTGCAGCTGCTGCTTCCTGTCTACAGCCTTGGGCAAGTGACTTAACCTATCTAAACTTTGGTTCTTTTTCAATAAAATGGGGCAAAGATATCTATGTCGTAGAGTCTGTGATAATGATACTGTGTGCAAAGTTCCTTCCACAGGACACTCTTTTAAAAGTTCTTACACAGTGGATACTCTTAAATTAGGCAGTAGGCTCTTTTCTCAGCATTTCAAAGAATTATATCACTTAAAAGTCCCTCAGGTAGGCATCTGAATGCTTTTATTTCCATGCTTTATAAAAATCCTGGTTTTCGCATTCATTTGCAAATCCACCTGTGGTTTTGGTAACCCCAGTTTCTGTCCTATATATATGGGCCTGGGTTTTGCTGTATATTCATGCAATAGTCATATCTTCCTCCTACTTCAGCTCCTGGAAGCCCAGTCTGGGCCCTCCCTACTCCAATCCATTATAATGTAGACAGGTGTGGTTGCCAGCCTCCAAGGTACCCCAGAGTTATTCTCACCTACTAATGTTTACACCTCTGTGCAGTCCCCTCCTGCACTGAATAGAGCTGACCTAGTAACCAAGGGATGCTGTTAAAGTGACAATGTGAAGCTTCTGAAGCTAGGAAGGAATAAGACACACTGCAGCTTCCATCTTGCTCTTCCTCTTGGATCATTTGCTGTGAGGGAAGCGGGCTGCCATTCAACATGACAGTCAAGCAGCCCTATGGAAGGGGTCCCAATGGGGAGGAACTGAGCGACCCTTCTGCCAAAAGCCAATGCTAACTTGCTGGGTACATGAGTAAACCACCTTGGAAGAAGAGCCTCCAAACCTGGCAAGCTGAAGTTGACTGCAACCCTGGGTGGCATCTTGACCACAGCCTCATGAGACCTGGACCAGAAGAACCACATGGCTAAGCTAGACGGTGTGAGAGAATAAATGTATATCACTTAAAGTTGCTACATGGCTAGGGTTAATTTACTACTTAGTAGTAGATAAGTAGTATAGAAAGTCTGTCTTCTTTAGAGATGAGTGTGAACAGTTAAGAGGCCATCCAAAGCCACTTTCTAGCAAGGAGAGAAGTTTGGATTCGAACCTAGTTCTGTCTGATAGCAAATCTCATCTTATCACTCTGTGAATGGTTACATGAAATCTTTAATGGCTGCCCCGAGAAGGGAGGAGGGTTAGACATTATTAATATACTTGAAGAATGATGGAAATTGTGAAGGGAAAAGAAGGGGCAGGATGAAGAGGGCACAGGGAGAAAATATCACTAACACTGAATTGATTTTGCTTTTGGCACTGAATAGAAGAAACCTTTAATGGTAGCCTCATCCAAACAACTGGCAGTTGGGGACAACAGAAATAACCTGAGATCACAGGATTTTTAGTAGTAATCATGGTTTCTCTCATAATTGGGGGTTAAGGAAATTAACATTCACTGAGCACCTACTATGTGCCAGCATCTTTACATTTCATTCACTTTTTCAGTAATCTTATGATTTAAGGATTATCCTTCCTCTTTACGATGAGGAAACTATGCTTATAATCCCACAACCATTAAGTGATGCTCTCCAAATCTGATCTTATGCCTTCTGATTCAAAATCTTTCCACCATTTTATGCACAAGAAACATTGATTTTATTATTCTTGGTTGAACCTTACGTATAATCCTACTACATACTGAATTACAAATAAAAACTATACATGTTAGTTTCATGTCATGCTAGATTATAAAGCATAGCTTGTGACATTGGAAGAAATAATATCATCTATTCCACTTTATCACTGAGGTGCCAAATAAAACTGTAACTGAAGAATTAAGAAAAGCAAGAACTATGAATAGATATGCATTTACCAAGAAGACTGGTACTCTCTGCTCAGGTGCTATGGTAGAATCTGGTTTATATTGCTGTATTAAGCCTGTGCCCAGTTCTTCCAGAAGCTGCCGAGGTAAAAGAAATAACTGTCAAAGCAGAGCATTAGAACTACAGAGGTAACAAATCAGCTCACTTCTTTTTGGAGATCACTTCAAATCATAAGGAAAAATAATTTCTAAGAGATTTTCCTTCTTTTCTCATTAACTCTTAAAAGAGGCATTCTTTTGAGGAATAAAATCAATAGCTATATGTTGTTAATTTAATACCAAAACAATTCTTTGGGTTTATAGGTAAGAATTGAAAATAGAGGAATGTACAGCTCCTTTACCTGAGGACTCCTTAAGAAATCTGGCTTCTAATGAAAATTACCTTGGCGCCATGAAGCTGAATGGATGGATCTGCTTCTCCCATGCACTTGCAAATCACCTCTCCAAGTTCCATCAAGTAGACCTGAGCTACAGAAAAGTAGCCCCTTGCCAGATGAGCCAACACCTATGCAGAGAGCAGGAAATTAATCTCAAAAATCTGAATGCAAGATTGCAGTATCTAGAAAACAATTTCAATATTTGAGAAATCACTTACACTTATCAGGTGACTGAAATCTGATGTGAATGAAATGAAAAACAATCAAAATCTTTATTTTATTGCTAACATCAAGTAACTATATCATAATTCTATGATGCTTTATAATTTATTATTGTTTTTCATTTAATATTATGTCATGTCTCTGAGTAATCCTTTAAGATAGGTATTAACTGAATTTACAGCTAAAGAAACCAAGGCTGAAAAGGTTAAAGGATATATTTAATGTTATCCAAATAATCAGCAGCAGTTCTAAGCCTATGTCTTAGACTACATCTGAGAATAGAAAGAGCAAATACTTTTATTCAGAGTTAAAAGTATATTCCTTTGAAGGAGCATTTATTTTGTTTCATTAAGCAGATGCAAAATGAGAGAATTTATTGAGAATTAAAGATTTAAGTTGCAGAATTCCAAGATTAACCGTATAATTCCTTTCAGAACTATTATACCTATTACACCCACCTGTCCCACTTATCATATAATACCTGAGATAACTACAATAGCTTTTACAATATTTTTACAACCAAAGCCCCCCCACAACCTGATCAAAATACCAAAATAAACCACCCACAGCTAAAACACAACTCCTCCTAATGTCATGTGGCTTTTTTTTTTTTTAATATTTATTTTTTGGTGTAGATGGATACAACACAATGCATTTATTTTTATGTGGTGCTGAGGATCAAACCCGGGTCCCGCCCATGCTAGGCGAGCATTCTACTGCTGAGCCACAATCTCAGGCCCAATGTGGCTTGTTTTTACAATATTTTATATGCCTACTTCTCACAGTCACCCTATGAAAGGGGAATGACCACCTCCTTTCAGAAAGGAGGAAACGAAATCTCTACCTGTAGGGCCTCCAGTCGCATGGGAGATGGTTCAAAAGTGCTTCCTGCTGCAGAGCCAGTATCCCCACCTGAATAGCAATCCTCTTTGGGCAGGACAACAGTGGAAATACAAAGTCGAATGAGCCAACAGGGCTCTAAAGACCCCTTTGGTGAGCTAACTGATGTTTCTTCCAGAGAGGATCCTGCAGGGGCTTTCTTCCACCAATCAGCAGGGCTGAGGTGAGGAGTTGCTGAATTGCTACTGCTGAGTCCAGAAGAACAGGGCTGTTGCAGAAGTAGCTGGACTTCAGGTAAAGGTGCATGAGTGGACACTATAGCTCCCAAGAGTGTGAGACTTGACACACGGACATTGACATCTGTCAAAGGAAAGTCAGAGCCTATTACCTTAGGAACCACTCTGATAAGGATCAGTTACCTCTGCAGGTAGATAAGAATTATTAGATCCTTGTTTAATTAGGTCTAATTAAACTTCCAGACCTAATTTCAAGTTCGTAAGAAACACATGGGACAACATCATAAAGAAACAATCTGACACTGAGAAAATATTACATAATCCATAAGACAACTGACTGTGAGTCTTCAAAAAAATCAGTATTATGAAAAACAAACAAAAAAGGGTGGAGGGACCACACAATTAACAGACTAAAGTGATACAATAACTGAATGTAATGCAAAAACCTTGAATGAACCCAGAATTAAAAAAAAAAAAGCCATTAAGTCTAAAATGTCCAGCACCATTTGTTGAAAACAATATCTCTGCTTACTTTGTCATAGAGAAGTTGATTATATGAACATAAGTTATTTCTTGGCTCTCTACTCTGTTCCACTTATCTACCTATCCTTTTCTACACTGACTTAGTTACTAATGTTTTATAATAAGTTTTGAAGGTGGGTAGTGTCAATCCTTCTAACTTTGTTTTCTCACCCAGTGCTATGTGGCTATTCTATAAACTTTAAAATCAGTTGACATGAAAATAATGACTTGGGATTTTGACTGGGATTGTACTGAATCTATAGATAAGTTGGGAAGAACTAACATCTTGATAATATTGAGTCTTCCTATCCATAAATATGAAATATCTCTACCATTTGTTTAGTTCTTGAGGAAATCTGGGTTCTTTTAATCTTTTTGCCACTAAAAGTGATGAGAGGTCTTAAGGTAGGAGGAGTTTATTTTATCTTTCTGAGTCCTGCTTTACACACTGGTGTAAGGAGTGGACTGAACTTAGTTTACACAGCAGGATCTCACTTAGGCCTCATAAAAGTCTTATGGAGGGCCAGAGTTGTAGCTCAGTAGTAGTTGTGCTCACCTAGCACATGTGAAGGCACTGGGTTCAATCCTCAGCACTATTTAAAAGTAAATAAAATAAAATAAAGGTATTGGTCCACCTACAACATATATAATTCCTGCTGTTAGGAATTTCAGGCTTAGTAAGGGCCATGGCAATGGGAGTGTGCTGCAGACTCTCAGACTGACTCTAGAGCCAGTGTACTTCCCATGATGTCACAGAAAACATCTGTTTCCTTCTTGCTCTACAATTCTGACACAAAAACTCATCTTTTCCAAATGTGTTCTGATCTGAAAGCTTGCAAAACTTTCAGTTTAACAGAGTAAAATAGGAAATAAGAAATAAGACTCTGCACTTGGGATCTGAAGTTCAGGGATGTTATCTGAGCCTTCGGAAGAGATAACATTAAAGAAGTTATGTTCTGTATTCCAATTTTTTTGTTTCCAAGAAGATGATGATATCTGCCTGTCCTTTCATCCATTTTCTACTTATGCCTAAAGCTAATAATCCACTTGCACTTGCATTCCTAATTCTAAAGGAACACTCTAGTCACTGCCATGAAGCATCAAAGGGGTATTAAACTTTACAATTCATTCTCCATTTCGTTTTCTTCTGTAGGGGTTTGAGGGGGGAAAAGTAGAACATCATTGGTAGCTATGAAAAGCTGAAGAGAAAAAGTAGAGATCTCTTAGGAGATCTGAAAAATGCTCTGAATACTAAAAAAAAATTTACTAATACTTTCCATTTGACTGAATAAAGAAGTAATTGGTTTTAAAATACTACCGACCTTTGTGGCGGATATAAGGTTTTATCTGGTTCCAGACTTTGGTCAACAGGCTGAGTTTCAGACGGTTGTAAGGGGCATTTGATACTAAATTTGCAAGGCACTGTAAATCACAAAAAAATAGCTTATCAATAGGCCTGACTAAATCACAGCATAGAAACAAAATTTCATAGCACTTAGTTTAAAAGATCTTTTATGCTTAAGGAAAATCCTTTTCTTTTTTTTTTCTTTAAAAAAATAACTTGTTTAAAATTTGATACATTGGTACAATTTAATACTAAAGCAAAAAGAGTACTTTTAGCAAATCATTTATTTGGACATAGAGATATTATAGGTTATATGAGACAGGTAGGTACAATCTTCCAAATAGGATATCTTTAATACATTTATTATTTAGTTATATTCTTAGGTTAAGTTACTTTTGGGCTATGTAAGATATTATACAACACTGAACCAGAGAAACCTTTTCTGCAACTCACAGGTACCTTGGAACATTTACCTTAATTATCTGAGTTAGGGTCTGTGAAGACGACTCTGCCACCAAAGCTAACAAAAGACATCTGTGCAACTCCCTAATGCTGGAAGCAATCATAACAGAGAAGGGAGTGAAAGCCCTTTTGTGGTCACTGGTATCTTCAGCAACAGACAGAAACTGTTTCGAGCCTTCCAGTATAGCAGATAACACTTGCAGAGCACAGGCACGTGTCTGAAATTTCAGGATGACCACACTCGTTAGTTAAAAATCAGGAGCCACAGTCTCTTTTTCCCACATATATTTAATGTTCAAAGTATTTAAGTCATCTTAACAAGAAGACTAAAGGCAATGAGATTATCTATCAAGTCCTGAAAGCAGCCATGAACTAGCCCCTTTGTACCCCACATCTAAAAATGAACCTTAAATCACATTGCTATTAGGTTTTCTTATAGTAAGGCATAAACATAAGTAACACTATAACACAAAACCCTGAAATTCTAAACATGAGAATAATTTAAAGATAGAGGCCTAGTTTATTCAGCATATAGCCAACCAAAAAGAGAGAACTAAAGAACCACAGGGTAGGAAAAATATGCATGACCTAAGAGCCTATTTTGTATCAAATTTCCTGAGAGCATTCTGCTTTATATTCTATTCTGAAGCATCTAAGTGCTCTAAGTTAAACAAGACGGCAGGATCTAGTGTACACTCAGCGAGCACCATAAGTGATCTAACTTTTAGAAACACTCTCATGTGTAAGAAATAATATTGCTTGTAGTGAGAATATCTGATAAACAAAATAAAAGCAGTCATGGGCTATTGTATGTCAGGAAAGTGTCCGTGAATCAAGATTCTCTTTATAAGGTTAAAAGATTACTTTTAATTGGTCTTCAGATGATTTTGTGGTACTAAAACTCAGACATGAAAAAAGAAATGAAAGCCAATTGAACCAAAACAGAATATAGGTAACAAATGCAGATTTATTACTACAGAAAAGATACTGTGCCCTCTTTGGCCAGTTCACCCCAAAATGCCAATTAAATACTTTTGGGTCACTTTTTTTTTCAAAGCAGAGAATCAATGTTACAATTCTAGGATCTAATCTAAATATTGACTCAACATGAAACAAACATAATCTGAATTTGGAGTAAACAAAAAGGTTTTCCAGAAAGCCTTCAACTATATTATCTTCAAATAACCAAATAATAAATCACTTCTCAGGTCTTTTGAAGAGTGGCATCATAAAAAAAAAAAAATCTAAAGATTTATTGCTCTGAAAATAAATGTGAAATATGTAGCATGAGTCTTCAGAATCACACACGCCCACTTAAGTTAGGGGACTGACGATGCATTAGAAAACTGTGCTTATGTGTGAGGAGCAAGACCATGAACACAAATTAGCTGATCCAAGAACTGAGATCAGGTGCTGGCAAACTCTTTCTGTAGAGGGCAATAGTCCATATTTTATATTTTAGACTTGTAGGTCATACTGTCTCAACCACTCAACTCCGCTCTGGTAGAATGGGCACTGTGTAAAGGAATAAATGTGGCTGTGTTCCAATTAAACTTTATTTACGTTACAGATAATGGAATCTGAATTCCACATATTTTTCACATATCATGAAATTTTATTCTCCTTATAATTATTAAAAAAACATTTAACAGCATCTAAATCATTCTTAGCTTGTAGGTCATATAAAATAGGTGGTGGGCTAGATTTGATTTGATTATAGTTCATAGTTTGCCAACTGATGATTGGATGGCTGGTCTCTCCTGAAAAAGATAGACGTTATACTAAAACTTCATTTCTTTGGAAGGTAATTAAAACTCACAATTACAGAAGCTCACAAATGAAATGAAATTAAAAATCAAGTTGTGAAAAGAAATGAACTGATGTTCAAAAAGACAAAGAATTGTCGCTCAATTAACTTCGGTATCTAAAGGAGGAAAACATCCATGATTATCACAGATGGAAACAAAAGGGATGTTATTGAAACTTGTTCATTTTATTCCCACTGAGGTATAAAAATGCATAGAAAATTTGATACTTTTTATAGTTCTGAGTTAATTTCCTTTAAATCCTGTTTAATGTATCTTTGTTATCATAAAATTGTTACTTATGATACTGAATCTGGTTCAAGTTCTGCTTCATTTATTCTCACATCAATACATAATATCCTGTTTACCAGTCCCAATCAGCACTTCCAGCAGAAATTACTGGTGTACAAGCAAATCATAATAGGTACAACTCTCCAGAGAGCTCATTTTGTTGATTATGCTTTACTGTCTGAATATTTACAATGATGGATGACTTTTTAATCTTATAAACATCAGTGTGCATAGTTCTGCCAGTGTGTATTCACCTCCTTGGACATGAAGGCTTGTCTAAAGTTAATGAAATAAAAAGCGCCACCCCCCTTTTTGCTTTTAGAATATAGCAGAAATGTTTGCTGAAATAGTTCAGTCAATCTTAATTTTCTTCCTTCTTATGTTTGTAAGTTCTCAAAATACTTCTGATAAAGAAGACAACTCTCCTGAGAGTAGGTCCTATTAAGGTTTCCATGCAGAGAACCAAGCTATTCTCTTCTTTGGCTTTGTCCAAATATTAATTTTTTTTCAGTGTTACAGATTGAACCCATGGTCTTGTGTATGCTAAACAAGCACCCCACCACTGAGATATAGCCTCAGACTCAAGTACTAATTATTATTCACATGTTTCAGGGTTATTTTTTTATGGATTACATTTCCAAAGTTGATTGTCTTGAAAGTGAATGTATCTGAACCTTGTGACAGGGCTAGTAGATTTGGAGACATTCAAGTAAAGTTTAATTGTTCCTAGTTGGGCATATAAAAGTAACCTGATTACTTATCACTCCATAACAGTTAAAAATTCTAACCTTTTCATTTTCTTATCTTGTTATGCTATTATCTAGACTTTATTTGTATCTACTTTTCAGAGTTATTTCAAAGAGAAATAAAAATTCATGATGGGATTTGAAAGTCAGGATAATTCCCAAGGTATTAAAAGAAAGGTCTGCCCTTTAGTTTGTTCTTTAGGCCAAACTCTTGATGTGTCTCCATAATATGCCTTTATAATCCCTGAGAAAATTGTACAGAAGAAATTCTTACATTAGTCATGTTATTTTTATTGAAAATTTGCTCTGTCTCTGCTGGAAGCATAAAATGTGCATTCTGAAGCACATTTCCTACATGGAAACATAACTTCCCAAGTACTATCACATTACCAAATCCTAAAGAAAATTTCTCAATTTTCTCCTTCCCAATTAACTGATTTAGCATTTCAAGTTCCAATTTCCTGAGAGTAATCTATTGTTTGTATTCCAACTGGAAGACTCCAGTCACTTTTTCTTCTATTTCTCACTAGAAAAAGATTTTCAGCACATCTGTTTCCATTTTTTCCTCAAAGTTTCTAGAAGTCTAAGAACCTCTCTCATCAACATCAACTACTGCAAACCTTTTCCAGCATGTGGCTAGGTGCACAATTAATTACACTCTGATCAGTTTGCAGAGGTATGCTCCAAACTTCATTGTGGACAATAATCCCCACTTATTTAGACCCTGCCAAGCTAATATTTTATAAAAATCTCTAGGAAACCATTTGCCATTACACTAAACTGAATAATTTCCATTGTCTTTTCTTTTCTTGGATGGCTTGTTATTTCTGCTTCTCCAGGACTTGCATGGGGCTTCAAGAGGGATCTAGCACATCTCCAGAAGGAAGAATTTCTTCTGTACATTTTTCTTACCATATTTCTTGTGTACACTGAACATAAACAGCAAGAACATGTCTAAAGGGGACCCAAATCCAGGAGATGGATAAGACAGATCACTGTGCCAAATGTAAAGCACTTTAAGTCAAATGTAATTTTTTTTTTTTTTTTAAACTGAGTGCTTAGCCACTGAGCCACATCCCCAGTCCCATTTAACATCTTTTTTATTTTGAGATGGGATCTTGTTAAGTTGCTTAGGGCCTAAGTTGCTGAGGTTGACTTTGAACTTGTGATCCTCTTGCCTCAGCCTCCTGAGCCACTGGGATTATAGGTGTGAGTCACTGCCTGGCTTAAATGTAAACATTTAAAAGATTATAAATTATTTCAATTAATTCAGTTTCATCAGATATGACCTCATAGCCTTTCTGTATTCATCCCCTAAGACTGAATGTTTCTCATTCCCTTAGCTGGGCAGTTGGAGTGTTAGTGGTTAACTTGTCTTCTACTTGCCCCACAGCACCATCTCCTTGGCCACACTGGCAGTTTCCCCTAGTGAAAAGCATTCAAATATGCATTTAAAATTCCTTGTAGTAATTTTTCCTTTAATTACTAGAATGGCTTCATTACTGGTATCTTTGCTACCATTCATTTTTCATTTTTCTCCCATTTATACTGATTCAGGTGAGCTGCAAAATTTCTGCTAATCTAGTTACTTACAGTATTTGAAATGTACCACAAGAATTTTATTGTGTATAATTAATGCTAACATAAGCTTCCAAAGGATCATCTAGAAGTTTTTTTTACACAGTAATTAGCTATTCAAGGAGATGATCATAAGATGTTCCAATCTATAGTGGATTACTACCCATTTTAAGGAGAAACCTTAATTAAAATTATTCACTTTCAATGGGTAGTTTAGTTCTGAGGATATCCAGATGCCATTTGGCATAACTTTTTAATATACTTTATTGTAAGGGGACTCTAAATAGCAGGCTACTTTCCTTATTTGATTGAGACTAACTTCTAGAGAGGAACTTACCTATTTAAGCAGAGGCAGATATTTGAAATATCAAGATATCATGAAATATCTTGCTATAGCCATCCATGCTAACAAAATCATCTTTTTCCTTTTTTAAAAATAATTTTTTCTTATTAAAATAAGCAAATATTTATAGCTACGCATGGTGGTACAAGCCTGCAATTGCAGCTAATTGGGAGGCTGAGGCAGGAGAATCCCAAATGCAAGGCCAGGCTGGGAAATTTAGTGAGACCCTATCTCAAAGTAAATTTAAAAAAAACACTCACTTGGGGCTGGGGCTATAGCTCAATGATAGAGTGCCTGCCTCACACATATGAGGCACTGGGTTTGATCCTCAGCATCACATAAAAATAAATAAATGCCATTTGGCATAACTTTTTAATATAACAACAACAACAACAAAAAAGCACTCAGTTGTAGAGTGCTTGCCTAGCATATGTGAAGCCCCGGGTTTGATCCCTACTGCCACAAGAAGAAAAAAAAATTAAAAAAAAGAAGCAAGTATTTATTATACATGATTTTTTTTTTAAATACGAAGAAAATCAGTGGGATCCTACTACATACACAATTTTATGTCTTGTGCTTTCACAAAACACTATGAGAATTTTTCTGAGCATTACACATCCTTTATAACCATATGTACCATAATAATTTCGTTGAGTTTTTAAGTCATTTCTGATATTTTGCTATTATAAATTCCATTTTAATAAACATTTTCATAAAGGGGAGACACAGCAACTTCAATGGAGCTCAAAGGAGATACCCAAGTTACAACTCTGTGTGCTCAGGTTTCAGAAAGCCCAAGGGCAAGAAGTGGCCTCTATAAAATTCCCATCAATGTGCTATTCACAGAGCCCATTTCCTATCCCCTCTTATCTGTCCAGGAGTTCTCAAGTCAGGAACTGGGTCAGGATTACTCAGAGCACTATTCAGTTAAGACTAGATGGTGCAGAGATAAAAAACAATATGTGTAAATTTTCTCTTGTTATAAAGCTTAGAATTTAAATGCTCTTACCTTGGGAGAAGGATCTTTTAATGCAAGTGTCATTAAGGACACAGATTGTGGGCTTCCAAGCTCAGGCGTATCAGGAACAAAGGCCGACCAGTAGCCATACAGAACTTTTTTTTCTATTGATTTTATAGTAGAAAGAAAACAAGCTAATGCTCCTTGGCGAACTTTGGCTTGGTATGACCTTTCATATCCAAAATAAGGAAGAAAAGTTTTTAAACAGCTTTTTAAAAATGCAACATGAAATGCTATTTATTCTAGACAATTAAAATCATACATTGAGAAATTAAGCCTATAATAACCCCTAAAAATGTTGCCATGATATTAAAAATTTTTTAAAGATATGATCAATACATGTTAAGACAATTTGCTTATCTAATAAGGTATTAAGGCTGACAAAAACCACAACTCAATAGAATATAAGTATAATACATCAATACATTTTGATGTTAGGAAACTAGTATTAGATATGAAACACTGCAGAGTATCTAACCACCCATTCAACAAATATCCCATGAATGACCCCATGTAGGAATCAGACATTATGCTGGGTTGGAGGACAAATGAAGACCCTGCCCATGCTAAGTGGAAGTGATTGATGGAAAGCTCAAGAAATAATAACACATTTGAAATACACTAGGGTGGAGGTTAAGCCAAAGGGTCACACAGAAGGGGCTCTTAAACCAGGATGGGAGGGATTGAATAAGTTTTCCCAGAGAATATGATTTTTGAGCGTATTTTGAAGAAGAGTAGTTGTTAAAAATACAAAATGGCCAAAACAACAACAATAACAACAAGAACAACAGCAACAAAAAGAAACAGAGAAGAAAAGACTACACCAGGGAAAGGAACATACAAGGACAGATCAAGTGAGCAAAGCAAGTTCAGAGTAATGCAAAGCTCCACATAAATGAAAATTCTCAAATTTCATCCCAGGCAGCAGTCAGGTTTTTAAGCAAAGCTATAAACTGACATGCAACTTAGGATATTAAAGTATAAAAATATAACAAAATACTACTACCTCATTTTACCCTGTAAGCCTCCTTCAGCATCAGAATAGTCTGACTCACTACTGCTGACCCTTTTCCAGCTGGAAGTGGTGAAAGGTGAGGAGACCCGCTCTTTTCCCAGAGTTCCACTTCCATCTACTGGCAAACCTTGGACGCCCGGGGAGGAGGAGCATCGAGTGTTCCTGTCATGCATGTTCACTCTGCTTGTGCCAGGGCCTGGGACTGCTTCCATCTCACTACTAGATTCTTCTTCCTCTTCCTCTCCTTGTGGGGTTTTCCTTGGCTTAATTTTGTATTTTTTCTTTTTATTCTGATTTTAGGAGCAAATGAAGACATACATATGATAATTATTTATAAATGACTTTTAACAAAATCACTGGTACTTCCTCATTTGAAAATGACTAAATATGTTCCTAACACATAGTTTAAAGAAACAAGAAATAAGAGAAGAAAAGAAAAAAGTAACACTTACTTAGTATCTATGCATCAGACACAATGCTGAATACTCACACACACCATCCTGAACTTAAGAAATAAGGCATGAAGTCCATGGGTCAGAGCAAAACATGTGGTTTGGGTTCAAATTCTACCTCTGTAACTCTGGGCAAAGCACTTAGCTTCTCTGAGCTTGACCTTCCTGATCTGTAAGTATGAGGCACCTACCTTGAACAGCATAGTGAAAGTGTTCAGCCTTCTCAATAGAGATTACCCAAAAGAATTAAAGCCTATGGAAATGATGCTAGTGCCTATTTTCTCAGCTCTCCCAATTAAGATATGCAAAATGGTAATCCATTACACACACTGCTGGTACTAGGGCCCTGGGGCTACACAGAAGAAGATGCTAAATAAAAGCCAGTTTCTTTTTCCCTACTTTCTTCTTTCTGACATCTAAATATCTTTGAAACCTGTGCCTTCTTTCAAATTCTCAAAAGTTCTTATCTTTTGAATTCTCAAAAGTCCTTATCTGTAAGAGGGAAGGTTCTTATCACTTCTACCTCAGACTACTGGCTGTGGCCCAGACCCATACTCTTTTATTTACTACCATGATGGTTCTCTTAAGATGCAAATTCAATCACATCATTCTGCTATTTAAGATTTTTTCCTCATCTACAAGATAAAAACCCAAATTCTTAGCATACTATACAAGACCCTTATGATTTGCCTTTGCTGCACATTTATTTGCCCTCCCCTTTCCCTTCATGAACCCGAATCTCTACCCTACAGTTAACATATGAACTATGCACACTCATTCTCTTATGTACCTTTTGTTCCCTCAGAACATTCTTTCCTCTCTCTGTACTGTTATTCACTCCTGAATCTTAGTTTAGTCACTACAGCTTTTAAAAGATTCTTTCTCCTCTATTTGGACGGGGTATCCTGCATGTGTTTTGAATACTCTGCGAATATTTTGATGAAAGAAATCCTAATATTACTGTGAAGTTTATTTATGCATCTTTGCTTCCCCCTCCAAACTCCTAAGAATAGCCAGTGTTGGTATATTTCACAATGGTATGTTAGCACAATGACTGGTGTTTGGTCAATGCTGAATAAGTGAATGAATGAAAGAATTCTTAAGCTTTTTTTTTTTTTTTAAATCAGATATTACATTTTGGATGTAAAATCTTGGCCACATTTCTGTATGCTACAGGTTCTCCAACAGAAACATGAAGGAGACAGCAGCTATCAGGGAAGGCTGAGAAATGTGGTAAATGTCAGAAGTGTAGAGACATTGTGTAAGTGGTCTTCTAATAGTCTACAGAAGGGCTACCAATTTATGGCCCATTGTCTGTTTCTGTGAATATAGTTTTACTGGAACACAGCCATGCCCTTCCATTTACACAGGGCATCTCTGGCTGCTTTTGCACTATAACCATGAAGTGGGTAGTTGCAACAGAGAGCTAAAATATTTACAAGTCAAGTCCTTAACAGAAAAAAAAATTGTTGATCCTTGGTTTTAAGAAGTCTGGGGATGAGAATGCTTGATTTTGTATATAATGCTCATTTTTGTCAGGTGTTACACTTTCTGGACCGCTTAGAGCATAAAGTGCTTTAAATTGTACTTTCAATAGTCTGATAAATTTAAATTTACTTTGCTAAGTACCTTAAATTGAAATCAAGTTCAAGGTGGGCTTTTGGGGCAGTGGCAATGCAAATCATAGAAAATACACAAAGCAACTATTCAAAACAATCTGCAACTTAAATTCAAATAGACATAAATGTACCACCGTTGGTCGAGAAGCAGTGGATTCTGACTGTTGTGGTTTGACAGGTGGTCGCCCATCATACTGAGGAAGTAGAGTGGGGTATAACACCGTGGGCATCTCTATGTTTAGTCCAGGAAGTCCATGAAACATGGCTTTCTAAAAAGTGATGAATAAGGAAAACACACACATAAATATAAATCTTACAGCAGAATTATGCAGCATGCTCTGGATCAAGACACAAACAGATTAAGATTTAAAGACTATTAAGTAATAAAAATGGGACAGAACCTTGACACCTTGAAAGTTTAAGGCTTAAAGAAGAGCTTAATCTCATCTATCCTAAAGCTGGATCTGGTTTGGCCACATCAGATTAGGTTTGATTTTAGCATACCTTCATTTAATCCCATCATCTTATCCAGTTATTTTATCTATCCACTAATTTTTAAACTAATTTATCATTTTTATTTAGTCATTTGTCTCTAAATCTAGCTGTTTGTCTCTATTTGAGGGTAAAAGAAATGGCACATGGGAAAAGTTAAAATTTTAGCTTTAATAAAGCTATATTGTCACAGATAGGAATGACTTCAGGTGAGCACAAAGGCTCCTTTTTTTTTTTTGTCTCGGTTGAGATAGCTGGATCCCCAGAGTGGTGAGTTCATGTCCCCCTGTTTGGCAGGTTTGGAAGCTAGTGACAGCAGTGTGCTGACACATGTCTTAATTAACCTGCCTTCTACATGACAGAGGATGCCAGCAGAAGCCCTGGCTCTTTTCTCAAGTACAATAAGGTAAAAGCTGGTTCAAGAAAGCTATGATTAAATTATCTTCGGACCTTATCTCACAACTTGTTCCTTCCTAAGATTCAAAGATAATTTTTAAATTTTGGTATATTTATTTAAAAGAGGCTATTATCTATTCTTAATATTAAGTATGCTTATATATATATGAACATTGTATTCTGCTCTCTTAGAATATATGAGAACTTTTGATACCTTCAAAGTTAGCCTTTGAATGATGATATGAAATGGTACTCACATCTAGGGTTTAAATGGGAAAAACACGAATCATAATGAAGAAGTGCCTTACCTTTAGTACAGCTAGAAGAGCTCCAAGTTCATCAGTCTGTGTTAGTTTCATTTTTCCACCATTTAGAAGTGACTGAATGCCTTTTAATGCATTTTGTAACAACTAGGGGGACAAAGAGAGACTTAGTTAGAAGGTAGAATAAATTTTGGTTGTCCAGGGATCTATTCTTCAGCATCACTTAAAATGGAAGAGGAAAAGTCTCTAGATGATGAAAAAACCTTTTGAAACACACAAAGCAGAGGTCAAGATCCAGAAAAATGACCTGATAAATCACTTTGAGTTATCTTCTAGAAGAGTACTCTTGAGAAGTCTTATAATACAGACTTATAAACCAGCATATATAAATAGTGGGCAAGGAAAATAAAAAGGAAGAGATTTAGTGGGAAGACTGTGATAAGAAATGAAAAAGTAATAGTAGAGATCAAAAGCAGGGAAGTTCTCCAATATGGCAACCTCAGTAGCTCTTAAAGTCAAAGGTGTAAATGTAGAAGCAGATGGTAAATGATAAAAGATGATAAATGATAAAAATGTAATCTCTAAAGGCAAATTTTGGATCAAGATTGATTTCTTGATTCAGTAAACTCACTTCTAAGACTCCATCCTTACTCCCTAGAGGGGATGATGTAAACTGTAGCCCTGTTTGAAATAGTGGAAAAACTTTTAAAAAGCAATTTTTATCTATTATGATGATCATGAGAATGATTACCTAAGAAGCTAACCTCCTAAATGTGAAACTCAGCAACAACAGTTGCGATACTCTGTCAAGCACTTTAAAAGCTCTATTTTTATTTATATTTCACATGAACCCTACAATGTAGTTACATTAGTACCATTTCAGCAAGGAACATGTAGGCTCTAACCAGTTAAGAAGTAATTTGCCCAAGATCTCCTAGCTACAGAAATAAGAAAGCATGAAGTACATTAAGAGGTACTGAAAAAACATACCACAGACATTAAGATTAAAAAAAATACAGAAAGTTTCAAAACAGCATATTAAACATGATTCTATTTCAACAAGATAAACATACTCATTCATATATAGAAAAAAAATCTAAAAGCACAGATCATCTCCAGTGATTATATCTGAATAGGGGATTATAAGAAACTTTTACTATCCTGGATCTATAATGTATGATTATGTCAACCTGAATTTAAAACATGGTAAGAAACTACCATATTTGCATATAATTCTTTTAAGAAGAAATAAAATAATACAGATATTATTGAAGTCTACTTTCTTCCCTTTCATCTTAAACATCAGGTACTAGTCTGAAACTAGACTGTTTTTATACTCAGGAGGAAAAAGAATGAGAAGAGCTTTCTTTTAAAACCTAAAATGCCAAACAAAACAAATAAAAAAGGTTTCTTGTAATTTAAACCCAAAGATATGGTTCAGTCTTTTTGGCTTACAAATATTCTATGTATATGTATGTACGTATGTATGTGTATATATATATATATAGACAAAACTAATATAGCAGCCAAAATTAAACTTGTTGGTAACAGCCTCAGTTCAACTCTTGCTTCTAGACATATCTACATCAATTTGTAAGATCAGCAATAGTCCTACCTACCATGCAGAAAGTTATGTCATCCATATCTGATGATTTTGAAGACTGTAAAGTGGTCAAGAAAGCTTGGAAGCAAATATTTTGGTAAGGCTCCTCCAGGTATGGCTGTCCTGGCACACTAAAACACATATAGAGAAAACAACTCGGGCTGTGTCCTTTGAAATGGTGCCTTCAAAAGAATAATAGCAGTAATAGAAACTAATAGAGTTGTAACACACCCCTGAATGTGACTGTACTTAGAAAAACTCTGCACTTTGGCGGTTAGTTACTGCTGTAGGACAGGCACAGTCTCCAGTAAAGAGAAGGATAAATATAAATATAAAGAAGGATGAATGGTTTCCATAGGGAAAAATTACAGAAATTTGTAGTGGAAGAAGTATGGACAAAGAGAAATTTTTGAGTTCTGCTTTTCATTTCTAAGAGAAAAATAATGCAAAGAGGTTCTGTTGAGTTAGAATCACATGACTGAACCTGTATTTTTAGCCACCATACACCACTGTGCTACCTAGATACAAATTCAAGTTTGTGCTGTTCATTTCCTATTGCATATTGTAGACTAATTACATCTTCTTAAGAGAGAAGAAACCAACCTTGACAGATAAATCTCACCAGAGCTTAAACTGGTACGACTATACCCTTCTAAAAGACAATATGACTAGAATTCATACCAATAGAAAACAAAACATTGACTATCACTTTTAGCATATATATTTTTTCTTCATTATGAACTTTATTTGATTAAAATCACATCATATAATGACCTTATTAAATAACCTGGGAAATGCAAATTGGGATATTTTTTCTAAGTTGCTCTTGTTTCAGACAGATGAAACAATCTATAAAAGGGCCCGAGAGATACTATCTTCTAACTACTGGGAAAACTGCCTGGATCCACATACCTGAGACATAAGTTTGCCATGCAATGCACTGCAGCTCTCCTGACTTCAGGGTCAGACTGAGCCAAGTCACTCAATGTTGTTAAGAGGCCGGTCTTGCCTAGCAAGTCTGGGAGGTACTAAAACAAAATAACAGTCAATGTTGGTTTAGGAAAAGCTTCCAGGAAAATATTACTATTTAGACAGATTTTATTTTTTTAATTAAAGGGCAGTTAAATGTCAAAAGACTAGCTATTAAAAAAAAAAAAAAAAAGACTAGCTGTTAGGCTGTTAGGTAAATCTTTCAGATGGTTAGTAAATATGCCAAAAATGGCAGAAGGCTCATTACTAGGTATTTGCTAAAGCTTTTTAGACATGGCTGTGCAGATGATGGGTAATGATAATAATGATGGTTAACAGTTAAGAGTGCCAAGTATTTACAAGGCCAAGACTGTAAATCAAAGCTACATGTCCAATTAATGGCAGGATAAAAACCTAAAGATAGGTCTGTTGACTCCAAAGCCTCTGCTCCTCATCTTTCAAAAAAAAAAAAAAAATCAGGACACAGTTAAAATTACCTTTTGACATTTTGAGCCATTACAGTAAACCAGAGCTGCCAGGGCTTGAAGGATTTCCATGTGTGTCCAGGAACTACACTGATGAATAGCTGAAATAGTATATCCCATCAGGAAATCCAAGTTCTGTTCATCAACAATCACCTACCGAGAGAGGAAAAAATACAGATGATCTAACTTCTTAAAAATGTTTTTGTCTTTTTAGAGATTATCTATGCTTACCTGAATCAAGTTGTACAAGGAGTATATATCCACCTTTTTGGGGTCGAAAGGATCACCTCTAAATCTTTCAAAGTTTGATCAGGTTAGAGGCCTTTGGCATGTCCCAGGGTCTTGTTCACTTCTTTCCCTTTAGTCCCTCCACTCAAAGTAAAACCTTGTAAATTTTCCTTGAACTACTATACACTGATAGCTATAAATATTAACCTACAGGACTTAAAATACTGAATTGTCTTAATTCAATTAAACTACCTTATACATAGTAATCACTCAATATATGGTGAATAAATATGCCTGCTAAATAGCTACTGTGTTGATAGCATGGTGTGGGGAATACAATGAAAAATGGCACATCTCTGTCCCCCCTTATTTTATAATCTTCTTGGCACAGATCAGGCTAATCCAACTATCAATTTATGGACATGAGGGGACAAATAGTCATCAAATGCCAGAAAGCTGGTTATGGATTATAGGTGTTTCAAGTGCACCCCTGAGATTAGTCAATATTTGGAAGCCACCTCCCATCAGTTTGAAACATTCTAAACTTGAAAACAGCCTATCTCATGTAGTAGACACTGTTGGCTACCTATCAGCATCCATGTTCTTCTTCCCTCATGGCAGAGTTCTGATTCTACTCAAATGCCCATTTCTCTCACATAAAACCTCTAGCAAATCCTAATTAGTTTAGTAGTTCTCAACCAGAGGCAATCTTGACCACCAGGGAACATCTGGCACAATGTTTGGAGACATTTTTGATTGTTACAATTAAAAAGGTGCTATTGACATCAAACGAGTAGATGTGATGATTGCTGCTAAACATATCCTACAATGCACAGGACAGCTTCCATAATAGAGAATTATTTAATTCAAAACATCAATAGTTAAAAAAAAAATCAATAGTGTCGAGGGTCAGAAACCCTGAAGTAAGTCCACTGTGGCTGCACAGTGTAATCATTTAGGAAGTTTATGCCCTCTAGGTGATGCTAATGTGCAGTCAAGGTTGAAATCACTGTTTTAAGCCACTCCTGGTAATTCCATTCCCTTTTTCAGATTCTGGTTTAGAGAGATGTTTATATGACTTAAGTCTCCAATGAGATATCAGGAGAGTCTACTGGAGAATTTATGGGACAAATTTCCTCATTTGTAAATAAAAGAGACACAAAATTAACAGGGATAATCTGGCTTCTGTGGAATGTTATTTAGTTATTTTGCATAGGATGCCTAGAGTGGAGGCAGCCATCTTATGACTATCAGAGAGGCTGAGTATAACACACACTAAGGACTGCAGAATGGAAAAATGCTAGTAAATCTCTTATTATTAAGGGATTCTAGAGCTGCTTCCTTTGGGACTTGAAATGTGGCATTAATTGTTTCTTCTTTTTTATTGTTTTGGTACTTTGGATTGACTTTTCTATTTTTTGAACCCAAAGCATCCTAGTAGACATATGCTAATTGATAACGCTTTTCATTCTCAATTACATTCATGTACTCATGTGTAATAGTCTTAATCCTAAAAATAAAAGTGGGTTTATCTAGCAAGTTGGAAAAGGTTCTAGAAATAGGTAGGGAGCTGCAGTTTAGATCTTGATATAAATAACTGGTGTCTTTTTATCCTGGTGTACCCTCTTCCCCAAGCTACTTCTTAGGTTTAATGTACATAAAAAATAAATAACAAAAATGATAGTTTGAGGAAAGAGAAAAAACATTGGTAGGAAAGAATTCTGGGATCATTTCAATCCTGAGATGTATCTTGGTCAACCATAAATACCATAAAAAAAAAATCTAAGGTCAGGAAGCCTGGTTGACACAGTGGTTACTGAATCAATAGGAATACTTCTACTATGCTTCTAATAGACAAACTTCTAGAATTGTGTAGAATAATGTTCTTCTGGTCAGAGTTATGTTTGTTTTAGTATCATTTTTATTTTTTTGGTACTGGGTATTGAACCCAGGGGTGCTTTCCAGTAAGCTACATCCCCAACATTTTTACTTTTTTTGGTGGTGCTGGGAATTGAACCCAGGGCCTTGTGTGTGTGAGGCAAGCACTCTACCAACTGAGCTATATTCCCAGTTCCCAGTATTTTTACTTTTTATTTTAAGATAGGGTATCATTAAGTTGCTGAGGATCTCCCTAAGTAGCTGGGGCTGGCCTCAAACTGGTGATCCTCCTGCCTTAGCCTCCCAAGTTGCAGGGATAACAGATGTGCACCACCATGCCCGGCTTGTTTTAATATCATACTGAGGCATTTGCTTTTCCTAGTGTCTCAAAAGATTAGTTTATCATACCTACTATGGATATAGTATTTCAAAAGCATTTGCTTATTCTCAAAGTTCATAATCTGAATCCTAAAGTTACATACATGATTACCTGTAATCTGTTTAGTAAATGGTGGATCAGCTGAGACACTTTGCTGACAAGATGATTCTGATTAAGAGGCACCAGTCGGCAAGCTTGGACAAGAAGAGCACTGACATCCTACCAAGAAAAAAAACAATCAAACAAAAAAAAACACATAAACGTAACATTCCCATTAATCAAGTGAAAGCCACCTCCATCCCCGCACCAAACACAGGAAAATGGGAGAATTAAACTGAATGTTCCTACTGAAGAACGGGAAAAGATGACATCTGAATGAAATGTGAGGCAGAAAAGATGAAATAACAGCACAAAAATAGGGTGTGCTAAAAAAGGAAAAGTATAAATATCATTTTTGTCAAACTAAAGACTCCAGAGTCTCTACCATGTATAAACAATAGAATTAAATAACCAAAGAAAGGCTTCCAGCATATAAAAGCACATAATGAAGTTAAATAACACCAAAAAATGTAAGCCAATTAGATTTTCAATGTCATTAGGAAAATTGGAAATGACACATAATTTAATAATTCCCCAATTTTACATATGTAAAATTGGGGAATTATTAAAAAAAGAAGAACCTATTTGCAAATCATATCATTCATTTATTGGTATTTACTGAATATAAAGGCTCTGAGCACCTACTATGTGCCAGGAAGTAGGCTAGGTCCTTGGGCTCCAAAAGTGAAGCAAACATTTTTCTGAACCTCAAAGAGCTTAGAGTCTAGTGAGGAAGACAGAAATATACACAAATAATTAAATTAAGTGCTGAAAGAATTAAGTACAAATATTGTGGGAAAATAGTGATTATGCAGTCTTGTGTACAGTTATATAGAATCTGGAATGAATTGAAGGATGAATAGAATTTTTGCAAACAGATCAGCTATCAAAAAAACACTTCAAGAAAAAAAAATGGAACTGTGTAAATACTTGGGAGACGCAAAACACCAGCAGCAAGAATAGTACCTTCGAAATGCAGACAAGACACAGAAGGAGGAGTGATGGGAGAGAAAACTGGAAAAGCACATATTTTTGCAAAAATATCAAAGCATACAAAAAATCAAAAGTCTTCCTGACTTCTTCTTAATCCCACTCACACTATTATTTTGCTATGAACTCTTCTGGATTTTTTTCTGCATATATAAACATATGCATATTTTAAAATTCCCCTCCTTTCTTGAACCCCATATTGTCTTGTATAAATTATTGGGCAATTTTGCTTCAACCATTTACCATATGTATAGATATTCCCAGATCAGGTTTTCATTTTATAGGCAGTTTTTTTTTTTTTTTTAAACCAAAGAAAAAAAAATCACTCTGGCAGCACAGCAAAAGGGTTGGACCAGAGGAAGGCATTCAGTTTAGAGAAGACCAGTGCAATAGTCCAAGCTAGAGTTATCTTGCCAAAGGCACTAGCAATGGGAACAAAGAGAATGTATGGACTGAGAAACATGTTTGAAAGAGATTCTGAAGAATCTGGATCCGACACACTCCAAGTCAAAGGAAAAGGAAAAGAACAAGGGTTTGTGTTTTGCATGTCCTGGAGGATGGGATTAATTGGGGATGAAAGTGTGTAGAGGTTAACATTCATTTTTAAAAACTGTCAAGCTTGAGTTGCCTGTGAGCATGAGATGGCTGTGGCTCAAGTGTTTAGAAAATTATTAAGTGATATCTAAGACTTGGTGTGTATAAAAAAGATTTCTCGGATAGCGAAAAGAACTTCTAAAGAGGAGGCAGAGAGGGTAGAGGAAGAACAGAATATACAGGGACTTTGTTACAGACTGAGGCTCCACTTCTAGCTGTCGTTTGCCAACAACGTGATAATGGATCTTTGTAAACTTCAATGTTTCCATCGGCAAAAAAACGACCTAATAATTATGCACACTTTAAGATTCCTGGAATGGTTCATGGTAAAGTACACATTAAATAAACAGTAGTTATGAATTTTATTGACAAAAGGTTTGGGATGCATAGAATGGAAGTGGAGCGTGAGAATGGAAAGGTGGTGCCAGATGCGAGGTGTTAGAGCAGAAATCATCAAACTGGGCTTTGAAAGATGAGAGTTTGCCAACCACTGCAGAATCTTTCAGACGGAGGACAGTAGAGAATATGCTAGGATCAGAGGGAGCAAGTCAGCCTGGAATTATGTCATCCGGGGCTCGGGGTGGGAACAGCCAGGAGAGGCAGGCTGGAGTTACCAGCTGGGTTCCCTGAGGGTGGGGAACAGCGCGGCTTCCCTTCTCCCACAGGCGAGGCGCCTACCTCTGCGGCCACTCCGCCGCCCTCGCTGTAGTTCTCGGAGATGAGCTGGTCAAAGAGCAGGTGGATCTCGGTGCGGGCGGAGCTGCTGTCCTCCGGGCGCAGGGCGCGGAGCCTGGCCGACAACCGGCGGAACCCATTGTCCTGCTCAGGGGGCGGCTCCCGTGGCGCCTCTCGTGGCTGCCCGCACGACAATGAGCCGGCAACTTGCACCGCCGCCATCTTCCCTACGTAAGGCCCCTGGAAAATACTTCCGGGGCATTCCCGGGTTCTGCAATCCAGTTCCGGAATGCCTAATATGGACCAGAAAGGCAAATGAAGAGGTTTCCGTGACTGCTGTACCCTTCAGCAGGGTACCCTGCAGGTGCTGTCTGAAATCAGCTTAAAAATATTTTGCCCGCCCACCTCTTCTGAGCGCAGACTGAAAAGTGGGGTCTCTGTTTGTCCTCTCAGAAAGTTTGTTTTTGGGCAGGGCTGACAGTCCTGTTGAGTACTAGAGTTTCAGCTTAGGGCTGGAGTTGGAGAATGGTTGCAGTAAATGGCAATGGCGGAAACTGCTGGTTCTCAGAAGTCCTTCTACTCCTCTTACAGCTTTCAGAATCCCTGATTTTTCCCCAAGCACAAATGCACCCTGACTAAAGGTTACATTACCCAGTATTCCTTGCAATTGATTCTATCTATGTGATTAAAATCTGGCCAATAAAATATAGGGCAGCTTTCCAGTACTTTTCCAAAGACTGTTTCTTTGTTCCCTTTGCTTCTCTTCTGACAGTGAGTGTTCTTGTGGGTCATGAGCCACCTCTCACCACTAGGAAAATAATTTTGAAGTTTAAATTGAACTATAGAAAATATAACCTGCCTGGGGGTGACCTGGTTGGCATTGGAGACCCCAAGATTTTCTGAAAGCTTGAAGGCGAGAATGGGAAGTAAAATAGCCATTTAAACAATGATCAGTTTTCAGTCACCCAGGAGGTGAAGACTGGACATTCACATTTGGGTAGACTGAGAAAAGCATCTTTAGGACTTTTGAGTTCTACAAATCTTCACCTCTGGCTCCTGGAAAAATCTTGAAGTCATCTGAATATACATGTTTTATCCTCAAAATAAAACACTGGTCATCATTGAAAATTGTGAATGTGCTTTTTAGCAGAGCTAGTTCTTTGAAGAATTTGAGCTTCTTTGGGGAAAAATGTTTATTTTTTGTTTGGATTTAGATTCTATTATGCTTGTATATTATTGTTCATTCTTGGAATAAGTGTACATAAGTGTTATATATGTGCATGTATGCATGTGTATTTGTGATACTGTTCAAGCATTTTCTCAGAGAAGATCAAAAGCTGAAACCTAGTCTCCAGATGTTTTAGTTGGGACTCCCTCAAAATAGAGCCTCAGACAAGATTGGTATGTGAGTCATCTATTCAGGAATAAACAGGGAAGGAAGGAGAATCAATACAAATATATGCTATTGAGTTGGGCATTGCAAGAAGTTTCTTATCGATCAATCCTTGGAGTTTTTTGTTTTTAGTTGTAGATGGACACAATATCTTATTTATTTATATGTGGTGCTGAGAATTGAACCCAGGGTCTCACACCTTCGAGGCAAGTGCTCTGCCACTGAGCTACAGCTCTAGCCCAATCCTCTGGAGTTTCTGAGAAATCTTATGGAATGCTCTCAGAACTCCCTCCTGAGGAATGGAGGACAGAAGCATATATCTGCCAGCTTTTGACCTCTATTGTCAATTATCACCTGGCTAGGCATAGCTCTGTGATTAACAGGCATCAATGTGCAATGTTTCCTAGAGGAGTCTCCTGTTGCATAGTTAAAGCAGTCCTGAGGCAAAACTGAGATGGTTTGGGATATAGAGTATATGTTTGAGGCAAGGTTCTGACAAGTTATATTGACAACCACTTCTAAGTAGTTTACTGAGGTAAATCATTGCTGTAAGTATGGTTCTAAGCGTTTAAGACCAAAAGTATTTGAAGTAGTGCTTAAGAGATGTTCAACACACTAGGATAGAAGGATGTAAGGCCTGGTCCTTACCATACTGGAGTTGGTGTGAAGAGACTGGGAATAATCTGGGTTTAGAGGGGTTTGTAGTAGGCTACAACATAGATTACCCATATATAGTGTTATTTAATATTGAATGACCCAGATATTGTAAAGTATACCAATGTCAATCTGTTGAGTCATGATAGATTATATCCTTGTGGATAGAAATAAATATTCCTATTTCATGGTGATCAGCAACTGAAGGAAAAATTTATCAAGCTCTCAGGGAAACTTTTGAAAGCCCATTTCATTGACTTGAGGTTAGACAGTAGCACCCCAACACCCACCTCCAACTCTGAGACTATGAAAACTAACAGTCTCTCCCAAGAAAATTTCCTCACACATCTTTGATCCTTGGCACTCTCAACATTTAAATAGTCTTAGAGTGATTGCGGAGCTTTAAGGAGTGTTAAACAAGTTTATAGCCATTTCCCTTTTAACTTCTTCATTGCCTGATCTGGAACCTTATTCTGGAATTGCATTTCTTTCACATTTGCAACGTAAATCAAGCTTGCATACTCCCACTCTAGTTCACATCCTTGTATATTTTTTCAGAATATCTATGATAATCTGTAGTTATTGTTTTTGTTTGTTTATTTACATGTTATCCGTTTCCTCTTCTAGAATGTGAGTTTCATGAAGACACAAATCTTGTCTGTGTCATTGACCAATGTATACTCAGTGCTAGCATACACATGGATGCAGTAGGCATACACCTATACTTGTTGATAAGATGAGTAAATTCACTGTTTTAATTATTTATCCAGGGCCCTCTAGTTTCCTTCTATTGGGTGATGGCACTTTTTATGAAAATGCTTTGTAAAATGCCACTTTTTATGAAAATGCTTTGTAAACTATGAAGTTTTATAAATTTTGCATTCAAATGATGAGATATTATTATTTTCTCTCTTTATAGTGAATGAAATAATGCTAGAGAGCTTAAATAGTTTATCAAGGTCCACATTAACAGCATTGGTCAAAATCAGACTTTAACCTAGGCCAGCTAAGTCTTAGGTCTGTGATTATGAAGAACATAAATAGAAATTATTAGATATTTTTACCTCCCATATTTTTTGTAATGGGGGGAAAAACAGAAATGAGGGGCTGACTTTCAGTATCCAGATTAAAACTAGAAACTAGAGACTGGGAAGGAGAATTGGCCTTGTGTCTTGTTCTAGATTCTTGTAAAATTAAGGGTCAACAGCCCATCTATTTGGTAAAAATAATAATAGTAATAAACATTTATTGAATATAGTTATCTCTTGGAGTTCATGATTCATTGGTTCTAGGACTCCCCTAAGGATATCAAAATCTGAGAAGGCTCAAGTCCCTTATATAAAATGGCATAGTATTTGCATCTTACCTGCACACATCTTACCATGTAGTTTAAGTCATTTCTAGATTACTCATAATATCTATTGCAATGTAAATGTCATTTAATAGTTGTTATACTATATTGTTTAAAGAATAATGAGAAGAAAAAAAGGTCTGCACATTTCGTGGCAGGCACAATTTTTTTTTTTGTTCCACATATTTTCATCCTGCAGCTGGTTGAATCTATGGATTCAGAACCTGTTTGGATATGGGGAACCAACTGTTGGGACCACTATGTCAGGCACTATGCCAAGCACTCTACAAGAACTAAACTCTTTGTAGGTCTATGATGTCTATACTATTGTACAAATGAGGAAACTAAAGCAAAAAATGTCAGGATATTTGCTGAAGGCCACACAGCTGCATGTGTGCCTTGGTTTGAAATTCAGAGAAGATGGTCCTAATTACTGTGTTATAACGCCTATCCCTCAGAGTTTGACACGGGATAAAAGTGTAGGCCCCAACACCTATCTTATGTAATTATGTAATTAATTTTATGCAAATTACTAAATTTACCCAAACTCATTTCTTACATATGAAATGGTCATGATAAGCATAGTCAAAAGATTGTTGTAAGAATAACTTAGAAGTTGGGTATAGTAGCATATGCTTGTAATCCTAGCAGCTCAGGAGGCTGAGGCAGGAGAATCTCGAGTTCAAAACCAGCCTTAGCAATGGTAAGGTGCTAAGCAACTCTGTGAGATCCTGTCTCTAAATAAAATATAAAATAGGGCTGGGGATGTGGGTCAGTGGTTGAGTGCTCCTTAGTTCAGTCCCCGGCATCCCCCCCTCCCAAAAAAAGAATAACTTAGATAATGCTTGTGAAGAATTTAACATATTCCTTGTCACATTGAAAATATTCAACAAATGTCATGTATCTTCCTCTTCACCTTCCTCATCTTCACTGCCACCTCTCACCAAATAACTCAAGTAGTGTGGATGCTTTTAAAGTGATTATTTATTGAAACAAACACCTCCTCTTCCCTTCCCCCATACTACTTGTAGTCTCCATCCACAGGTCCTGATTTTCATTTCTCTTTCCAGTCAAGAAGCTCCAGAAAGTCTCATCATTGCAGGCAGAAACTACAGGAAGAGATGAGCAGTTATTAGAGAAGATGGCCCTTAAGATAACTCTTTGTGAGACCTACTGTTTTGGGGACCTGGATCCACAGAATACAATTCTGAAAATCCATAGCAGCTGCAAGTGGCCAGCAAGGTCCTGAACATTCCAAGGATTGCAGGTGGATTGGGCAAGTAATATGTTTTGAAGACAAATGGTTTGTTTAAAAATGTATACTGATTCTATTGTGTTTAGTACAACTTAATTTATAATCAAAACTGAATCATGGTGGCTTTTTACTATGCTTTCTTCAATTAATAGCTACTGAAAATAAAGAAACTACCACATGTGTCCCCTGAAATATCTTTTATAGGAGAGGGATGCTTATAGGTCAACAAGGCAATATCTATCAAAGACTTACAATGAATAATGGTCAATAGTTATACTTGGTCAATAATTATGCTTCTTAGAATTTACCCCAAGAGAATTAATATGGGAATGATTAATTTACTATTCATTATAGTCATATTACTAATGTAAAAATAAGAGCTATCTTAGAGGTTACCAAGTACATGAGCATATATGATGAGCTTAATGCCAGTAGAGGTGATGGGATGGAGGACTCACTATTAATACTAAAATTTTTCACTAGTGATTTTTAAGTCAAATAATTGAGAAATTGAAATAGGTACAAGATTCTCATTTTAAAATACATATTTTATATTTATGTTTAAAATATGCATCATCATGTTAAGCAGACATTTT